CTAATTCTCCAGTTCAGATTTAAATATCGTTCTCAAATTATTTCTTTACAAGCAGAGATATATTACCACTTCCATTGACAGAAGCACTGGGTGTTAAAGTGTAGAAAATTATTCTGATAAAACAATTAAACACTTTATCACGTTTCACATGTCGATTTAATATCAAGAAGGTATGCAATATGCTATGAAATCTGATTTCTGTGAAGATAATAATAGCAGAATTGCGTTTAATTAGTCAGCTTAGTTTTCGATCAGCGTATCTCCCGATGCTATTCTATGGATGCGCAGCAATGACACTAAACCTGGAAGCTACTCATAGACTGCAGACTGCAGACTGCGATGTTGCATGAAAGCGTGTATGTTGAGAATAGCAATTAAAAATAGGAAAACGAACGAATGGGTAAGTGCACAGACAGGTGTATGCGATGTCGTCACTCTTTTGATGAAAAAGTTGAAGTGGCAGTGGGCAGGATACATTGAAAGAAGAACCGCTCACAGTTACACCAGAGAGACGATAAATTGGACTCCAAAAGGAAGTAAATGAGCCGTGGGAAAATCTTCAGATCGATTACAGAATTAGCTGAAGAAGTTCATTGGATCAAGGTAGATAAAAATAGCACAAAACGGGTTATGACAGTCTTAACGAGACCTTTATCCAGCAGTGGACCGAGATAGACTGTTAATGGTGACGAGAAATAATGCATAACTATAATTGTAATGGGAGTAGCCAACAGTGGGTGGTAGAAATGATTAGTGATGATCACCAAATTGAGGAAAATGTGTCCTCAGTTCACGACAGTCTTTCTTCCATTTCTAACAACATAATGCTGATATTACCTTGAAGAAGATCCATAGGTTACATTTATAGCGGTTTATCGTTCTACCGTTTCTAAGACAAAAGGTACTTAGCTGGTAAATCTTCAGTGTAGCTAAGTAGATTAAAGAGTGCGAATCAGATGTCGTGTTATGTGTGTTATGAAAGCGTTTGTTGTGTTATGAGTGTACTAAAATTAATTACATACGTATTTGAATATGCAATAAATAAATGTGCTAGAAAATTTTGAAAGTTCTTGCATTTTCTGTTTAGCGTGTATTTTTGATTTATTTTATGTATTGATTTAATGCTGGCTGACTGCTGCAACTTTTGTTGTAAAGCGTAATATGCAACGCTCGTCGAGTTTTCCATTTTAGGAGCAGCTATCGCCGTTGCTCGAGGCAGTGCGTAATCATGATCGCGCTAAAGCATATGACTGGGCAGAGTCATGTCACCAGTGGAACATGTTCAAGCTGTTGATTCAAGAACACAGTACAGAGTGATCGGTCCGTTTTTTTCACGCTCATTGTTTGTGTTTGTTTATAGAAAATAATCCTCACGGAGCAGGCGGTCGGCAGAGCGGCTCATCGCAGACTGATGGCGATTCCTGGCCTTGCAAGCACTGCACGTACGTCAATGATGCTGTTCGCGATGACTGCGAAATATGCGGCCTGCCCAAAGTTGTTTAGCGATGCTTAGAGAGAGCTATGTTTTGTTGTTTACAACGGGATTCTTTTCATTGCGTTTAAGATGTATTTGATTTCGCCACTGGATTTTATAATAGTTTTAAAAATGAGTTGGAGTAAAAATTTTCATGGACTTTGAGATTTTGCTATGATACGCATTTGCCTATTGTGTATTTCTATATTCGCGAATTTACGTGCACTTTAAAATTATATAAGTTGCTGTATCACGTAATTGCCGAAAGCTACTTGTAAGCTTGTATGCGAATATGTTAATGGTGCGATTTGAATTAATTCTAATTATATTAGTTTATTTGTTTAGTTGTAAAGAATATAGCCAATGTAGATTGCTGAAAATTTCACGAGCGTTCGTTTACTCATGACTACTAAAGTCGTACCATTGCTGCCCCTGCAAAACAGCGATTACGGTATACCACGGACCTTATTGTACAACGGTTCTCGGTTCGCTGGTCATCAGAAAAGTAAGGGTAACTGCTACGACGTCGAGGTCATAATTCAGGTCAGAAAAGACATCAAGCATGATCACGCTGATCAGAGGTATTTCGTCTTTCAGCATGTTGATAACGAAAATGATCTTCTGTCCGGCTACCTGATG